ATATTTTTCTGGGAATTTTTTTTTTTGAGTATTTTTTGGGAATTTTTTTTTGCGAAATATTTTTTGGGGGGATTTTTTGGGGAATACTTTTTTTTCGGGAATATTTTTTGGGGGGGAATTTTTGGGGGTGGAATATTGTTTTAGAATTTTTTTTTCAGGAATATTTTTTTTTCGGGAATATTTTGGGGGGGGATTTTTTTTGAGGGGGGTAAATTTTTTTGGGGAATTTTAGGGGGAATATATTTTTTGAGCGTTTTTTGGGGGGGAAATATTTTGGGAGTATTTTTTTGGGGAATTTTTTTTGGAATTTATTTTAGGGGGAATATTTTTTTGGGAATTTTTTGGGGGAATATTTTGGGAATATTTTTTGGGGGGGTGTATTTTTTTGGGGGAATATTTTTTGGAAATATTTTTTTGGGGAATATTTTTTGGATGGATTTTTTTTTCCTACGGAAGCGTTTGGGATTCGTGCTTGGGGCCCTCTGGTGTCCAATTTTGGGATTTTTATGGAATTCTGGGAAAGGAAATCCAGGGATTTTCTGGGATTGGGGTTTTTTTTTGGGATACCCCAGGATTTCCTTCCCAAATCCCAAATCCCTCCCCGTTTTCCCAGGGAATTCCCTCCATTCCCAGCCTGGGATTGGATCCGGAATGAACCGGGAATTATTCGGGAATTATTTGGGAATTATTTGGGAATTATTGGGGAATTATTGGGGAATTTTTTGGGAATTATTTGGGAATTATTGGGGAATAATTCGAGAATTATTCAGGAATTTTTGGGAATATTTCTGGAATTATTTGGGAATTATTGAAGCCATTCCGGGATCCAGGAGGTTCAGGATCCATCCCGAGGGATTTTTATGGAATTCTGGGATAGGGAGACCCTTCCTGGAGTCCCCAATTCCCAGGGAATTCCCAAAATTCCTTCCCTTGGGATGGGGCTGGATCCAACCCCAGGCTGGGAATGGAGGGAATTCCATGGGAAAAGGGGAAAAAATTTGGGATTTGGGCTGGAATTCCCTGGGAAAAACAGAAGAAATTTGGGATTTGGGCCGGAATTCCCTGGGAAAAATGGGAGAAATCTGGGATTTGGGCCGGAATTCCCAGCGAATCCCCGCGAGCATCCAAGGAAAACCTGGATCCCCCCGGAATGGGATCGGAGCTGCTTTCCCAGAGCCCATCCCCGGATTCCCGGGATTCCCGGGAATTCCCGGCCCCATTCCCGGATTTTTCCCGGCAGCTCCTTCTTTCCCGGCCTGGTGGTTTGGATCAACCGCGTCTTCTTCCGGCTCCTCTTCAATTCCCGGGTGGAAAACGTCGACCGCAGCCACCGGATCCTCACCTACGAGTGCCGCTTCCGGCAGCACGTCCAGGACTGGGCCATCCCCATGTAGGGATCCCCAAATCCCCATGGAATTCCCAAATCCCGGTCCAGGGCTGGGCCATCCCCATGTAGGGATCCCCAAATCCCCATGGAATTCCCTGATCCCTATGGAATTCCCAGATCCCAGTCCAGGGCTGGGCCATCCCCATGTAGGGATCCCCAAATCCCCATGGAATTCCCAAATCCCCATGGAATTCCCTGATCCCAAGTCCCCATGGAATTCCCAAATTCCCAAATCCCCATGGAATTCCCAAATCCCGGTCCAGGGCTGGGCCATCCCCATGTAGGGATCCCCAAATCCCCATGGAATTCCCAGATCCCCATGTAGGGATTCCCAGATCCCCAAATCCCCATGGAATTCCCAGATCCCAAATTCCCATGGAATTCCCAGATCTCGATCCAGGGCTGGGCCATCCCCATGTAGGGATTCCCTGATCCCCAAATTCCCATGGAATTCCCAGATCCCAAATTCCCAAATCCCAACCCATTCCCATGGAATTCCCAAATCCCGGTCCAGGGCTGGGCCATTCCCCATGTAGGGATTCCCAAATCCCCATGGAATTCCCAAATCCCAGGCCAGGGCTGGGCCATTCCCCATGTAGGAATTCCCTGATCCCAAATTCCCAAATCTCATGGAATTCCCAAATCCCAAATTTCCATTCTCATGTAGGGATTCCCAAAATCCCAAATTCCCAAATCCCATGGAATTCCCAGATCCCAAATTCCCAAATCCCAACCCATTCCCATGGAATTCCCAAATCCCGGTCCAGGGCTGGGCCATCCCCATGTAGGGATCCCCAAATCCCCATGGAATTCCCAGATCCCGAATTTCCATTCTCATGGAATTCCCAAATTCCCTGATCCCGGTCCAGGGCTGGGCCATTCCCATGCAGGAATTCCCAAATCCCGAATTCCCATTCCTGGGATCCAAATCCCGGGATCTGAAACCCATCCCAAATCCCAGGATTTCAATCCCAATCCCAGGATCCCAAACCCATCCCAAACCCATCCCAAATCCCAGGATTTCAATCCCAATCCCGAGATCCCAATCCCAGGATCCCCAATCCCAGGATTTCAATCCCGGGATCCCAAACCCATCCCAAATCCCAGGATTTCAATCCCAATCCCAGGATCCCCAATCCCAGGATTTCAATCCCAATCCCAGGATCCCAATCCCAGCCCATCCCATCCCATTCCCCTTCCAACACAAAAATCCCGGGAATCCTTTCGGGATTGTCTCTCCCCCCTCCCCCCATTTTCC